TTTTGAAAATGGGATTTAGAAAATTAAAATTGATCAAAAAAAGCCAGGGCTAGAGATCAGTAGTGTTTCTACAGTTGATCTTGAATTTTATAAAACATTTCAGGGCATTTCAATTATCACTGTACAGCACCCTGATTTAGAGCAGGACACTAGAGATTTCAAAATGGCCAAAAACCTAGTCCAAGAACTATTTAAGATCTACATCAAAAAATTTATGATCACTAATATTCTCCAATGTTTTATATAGAATGTCACCATTTTATTTTTAAGGCATAAACTTAGCCTGATATAAAATGGAAGACTTTGGGAAACATGGACTTTTTAAAGGAACAGTTAGTAGTACAGTTGATTCTCATTACTCACAGAGTTCGTATCTGAGGATTCCCCTACTTACCAAAACGTTTATTTGTAGCCTGAAAATCAATCTTGCTGCTTTCATGGTCATTCGTGGATATGTGCGTGTGAAATGTGGCAAAAAATTTGAGTCTCTCGATGAACTTCGGGTTTGAACCCACCAGCGACTCCGTGGAAGACCTGGCTGGCAATCTGCTTCCACAAAGACTGTAGCCAAGAAAACCCTATGAGGCAGTTCTACTGTCACACAGGGTCGCTATGAGTTGAAAATCAAATGGACTCGATGGTACCTAACAAAAACATGCACAAAGGCTGTTTCAGTATTCGCTAATTTAGTGTTCACAGGGACTTTACAAAGAACGTTACTGCAAATAATGAGCATCAACTGAATACTCAAGTGGCTCAGTTTTATTTTCAAAATGAAAAATGGGTTTTATTCATTCACTCATCAAACATTTACTGAATCGCCACTACGTGTCATGCAATAAATACATAAAGGCACTGGAAATACCAAATTAATATGACAGATTCTACTGTTGGGTATTAACATTTATCATTATTTTTAAGTAAGAATTTCAGGAACACACAAAATACATAACCCACTTTATTTTGTAACAACTGTCAATCTTACATAACTAGGTTTTTTCCTAAAACAACCATGTTCATAAAGACAAGTTCTAAGCTTAGTAAGACACCTCTCAAATCCTTTCTGGACAATATATTCCTCATTCCTCTGACAGTGTTTTTAGTATTGCATTAGCCTCTAAGCTCAGAACAGAACGTTTTTCTCATCTTTATACCCCAGTTCTAGCAGAGTGCTTGAACCACAGGAGCCAGTCAGTAAGTGACTCTGGGATTGAAGGCCCTAAATTTCATACAGGGTAAAGGTAATATTAAGTGAGTCTTCATGTTTGAATAAATGTGAAACTTTGATTTTCTTATTTTTAATCTAATATGCAACAGTAAGTCATCAAAAGTGACACGAACAATAGAAAACAGTCAAGAATAATCATTTGATGACTCTAAAATAAACAGAATAATACTTTTCCTCTTTCAGGTTTTTTTTCCTTTTTCTTTTTTCACGTGCCACTTTTTCTAAGTCATTAATTTTTATCTTTGTTCTTTTATTGCTCCTGTGACCACTCACTGGAAAATTAATACACTCCTTAACTCAAATAATTCCAGCTCTCACGTTCCAAATGTATCAGCTGAACTGGATCATGGCATGGAGAATACCAGAGACAACCACAGATTTTAATTTATTTTTATTAAAATTCTATCAAGACCAAAACCCACTGCCATCAAGTTGATTGCGACTCATGGTGATTCCATATGTACAAAGTAGAACAGCTCCACAGGGTTTTCTTGGCTGTAATCTTTATGAAAGCAAATCACCGGGCCTTTCTTCTAAAGAGCTGCTGGGTGGGCTGCAACCGCCAGCCTTTAGGTTAGCAGTTGACTGTAAACCACTTGTGCCACCCAGGTTCCTCGGTTTGGGTTAAAAAGACAAACACAGGTTATAATACAGGTTCTGGTATACTGGAAAACAAATTATGCAGAAGAGGGTTAAACATCTGTACAGCATAGAGGAGTTATCAACCATGAGTAGCAGAACTCCTTTTTCATTGAAGTCGAAAAACAATCCCAGACTCTAAGAGATAAAAATTCTTTCTAAGAGTCAACTCAGATGTGGTATGGACCTAATACAAAAACAAAGTACTTAATTTCAGGATTTGTTGTGAAAGCTGCACATAACTTCTCGATAACAACTCTGTCATTAGCTAACTATACATACTAAATAATATTACAATGAAATGTTCTAAGACACAGGATTCCTATCTGAGTGGGAGAATATTTCACTCCCGCATTTTGTATATATTTCAGTTTACAAGTATTCTAGTTAATATATTTAGTACCCATTAACCTGATTTGAGAATCTGGGCACTAATAGTTAAAGAAGGTACTTCAGAGAGCTATAAAAGTTACATATGCCTGGTAATTATGAACTACAAAAGATCAGGGAGTAGGGGTTACAAGAGTCAAGAAAATCAGGAAAACATTGGACTTTATTAATGACAGCCCAGTATTTAGAGGAACAGCAACATTTTATAATTATATAAATACGTTTTTAGACTACAATTTCTTCAATAATGTTATAAATACTCTGGTACCATCCTTAGGCTTACCTGAGAGAAGAACTTTCTATTTATATAGATACAGTCGCTAAAACTTTTTTTTTTTTAAATAAATAGTCACATGCTGCATAATGTCCATCTGGGCAACGTCCAACCGCATATACATGGTCCCAGAAGGTTACAATAGAGTTCAGCAATACCCATCAGAGAACGGGAAGTAGCTAGCATAACCGGATGTAGTGAACGCAGCAGCTTCCTGCATGAAAGACATTATCTCATGTCTCTCATACACAAAGCAACTGCACTGCCAGGCATATAATGGACAGTAACTTGTAAAGCAAGGTTACTTGCCCCAGCAAATAATATGGTGTTTGCACAACATCCAAATCACATAACATCCTATTTCACAGAACATTATCATGGATGTTGAGTGACACATGACTATATAAAGATCAAGATAGCCTATTATTCCCTATATTTCATAATATTATTACCTGAAGATATTTTTAGAAATATCTTTAAGAGTAGTTAAGATCTTTCATTATTTCAATCTGAAGTAGCTTGAAAAACAAACTGAAAACTGTATTGGGCACCTGAATAGATAGCTACCTTATCTCTTATCAGAAAGGAAGCCAGATCAGAAGGGCGTGATTACTTGCAGAATACGCCATTTATTTTTTAAGAGTTCGGTTGTGAAAGCTTGCTTACTGAAGAGAAGGCATCAAGTTAGATAACAATCAACTATTTTAAATGTTTTTATTAATCTTTCCCAATTGATCAAAGCCCTGTTATTAAAAGGGACAGATAACACCTTTACTACTACAAACGAAATCAATGTAAAAAGCTAGGTTATATTCTCACAACTCATAGAAATAGCATTGCTAATGCAGTATAACACCTTTACTTTATATATAAATTGAATTAAGGCCCAGAGAGGTAAAGGAATTTTTCCAAGATTACACAAATATACTTTCAGGTTTTAACCAAAAAATAAAGAAAAAGCAAAGCTGAGGGATCTATATCACCAGTTAGTAGAACCAGAATAAAAATTTCAATCCCTGGCCTGAGTTTGGTGCTTTTCCAATTACGATGCCTGACACTGAATCAGTGTTCAAATTTGAATTCATCTTGGCCAAACTCCAACCAAGTACAGGTTTACAACCAAAGCTGCTGTAAGTTGAAGAAATGGTAGACAATCACAGGAGAGCTGTAAAGAAGTTAAGAGTGCTGTTTCTATCATATTATAGCTAACTTCTCTAAAAGTAGAGCAACAGGGATATCAGGAACCACACAGGAAAGGTCAAGACTTATTTCTCCAAGTAAGTATAAGCTTAAAGTTGAGTTTTTGGCATTCACATTTTCATATTAACCAGTTAAGAACATCTTTATATACATATGCCTGAGACTGTAACCAACAGCTTTGTAAACATGTCTTGCTAGATGATTCATTTGCTACTCAACCATCCTAGGTGGAAAAAACATATTTATAACAATACTAAAAATACTTGAATGGGCCAGAAGGATAAAATCTTCAATGCTTACCAATTTAGTTCTGTATCAAAAGATCTTTGAAAAAGCGAAGTGCAGAACAGTATATACAGTAAGTCCCTATTTGTGTAAAATAAGGGAGCTACATGTTTCTAAATGCACAGAAAATTACAAGAACACATACATAAGACATTTCTAATAAAACCAAACCGTCAACAATGATGAGAAAAGGCTAGGGTGGGAAAAAAACCTAGTTTTCACTAAATACTCTTTGGTACTATTTAGTTTGTTTACAATGTTCATGTAATACTTTTTCAAATTAAAAAAGAGATCTTTGATACTACTACTACAGACATACAGTCTGTTCATTACTCTCATACTCAGAGAATTAAGAGTCACATAAATGATTAACGAAGTTTTAAATATTCAGATTCACTCTAAATGAAAACTAAAGTTTACTCCCCAATTCTATCTTTACAGTAAAAAACAAATAACAAAAGCACTTTAATTGGTCTTTAACTTTTGGATACAGCTATTCTAATGTTACTGGTTATTTTCATGGATAATGGAGTTCAACTGTTCACTGATATTGCTGTTTAAGTTCTAAAAAACCTATAAAAACCAAACAGTCAACGATGAGAATATAAGGGGACAGGGAAACTAGATAAATGGAAACGAAACCACCAGAACAGAAATAATGAGAATGTTCACACATCGTGAAGAATGTAACCAATGTCCTGAACAATTTGTATAGAAATTGTTGAATGGGAACCTAAATTGCTGTGTAAACCTTCACTGAAAACACAATATTATTTTTAAAAACCCTGTATAGTATCTCCCATTTTAGTATTCTATAAATAACTGGTAAAATTTTAAGTTCACAAGAAATCTTCCACCACATACATTATAGAGATTTCAATGGATCCCACTGTTTCAACAGAAATAGAAATCATCAAATACACAAACACAGAATAGAATTACAATGCTTTAAAAAAAAAAAAAACAAAAAAAACATTAGAGAAGTAATTCAGTTTTAATTTATTTTCATCACTTTTTCTTCATGATCCAGATATTTTAAAATGCAAAGAAAATTAACTTTCCATGATATGTCAGGGACTGGCACTAAAAAAATTTTCAAACTGCAAATGAGTTATACAAACAAAAATATCAAATGGAGATCCAGTTATCAAAATGAAAGCACTCAACATATTAAAACTCACAATTATTTGTATAGAGCACATTAAAAAGTCAGCTTGCTAACCAACTGTTGTGATTTTAAAGAACTACTGCAGAGGGTTGAAGAAAATATTTATTAGTTAACTTATAAAGAGATTAAAGAGCTTGAAACAAGTATTAAAAAGAAATTTGTGCCTTTATTAGAATGGTGTTAGGCTTTAAATACACCAATTTTGATAATCAAATTATTGTTTTTTTTAATAAGAAATGACACCACGGAACTGCAATACTGGTCCAACAACAGTCTTGTCTTTACTTTTCTTCCAAAGCAAGAAACAGAATGTGAGTAATCAGAAAGCACTAGCAGGCATCAGTTAATACAAGATACTAGCTTCTTAGTTCCAAAAGCACTTGCAAAGAAAACCACTGGGGTGGATGGTGGAGGGGGATGGAAGCAATTGTAATAACTGGAATCCCATGACTGTGTATGCCAAGTCTCATGAGGTTATTTTTTTTAATTTATCCTCTACTTGGTCACTTTTTTTTCCCTCAAATACTACAGTTTTTCTTTGACTTTTTTTCCTCAAAGTATAAAAAGTATGAAATATAAACAAGCTCTTGCATTGTACACTAAGAAGTGTACAATTCAAGCATTATAGAGCTATCTACATACTGATAAATCCCATCAAATCTTGGATAATTCAATAATATACAAAATATCAGGGCACACAAAGAACTAAAACCCACTTGTTTTTGTGACACATAAGATTCAAATATTCAATCTAAAGAAAAACACTTAATCATTTTGGCTTTCCTCTACATTCGCATGATGATACACTTATTAAAATATTCCTGTATAATTATGTTTGGTCTTATTATTTCAAGTCAGGTTTAAAACCTCAAAACCAGTCATCCAGACAAAACAGGCAATCAGAAAGATTCTCTCTTCTCACCTCCCTAACCCCAATAACTATGAAGTCAATTTTACGACATGACTCCAAACACTGGATTGTGACGACAAATGCTAGGTCCAATTTCTTCATAATCCTTTTTGGTGTGGCATACTTGGTAGAACTCGGGCTGAAAATAAAAATACATATTTTTATAAAGGTCAAAAACCTACCAATTTTCAATATGCTTTAAAATAATTGGTTTTTTTGTTAAATCTAAAATGTTTTTTATTAGCCCACCCACTGTACTTGAACTAAGCTTAAGAAATTCTAGTAAATGTGATTTAAATTCAGCTGTAAATTTATATCAGAACTGAAAGAGCATTTAACTTATGCCTCTCCTGTGTATGCACACACACCCCCACCACCACACACACACACCTGTTCCTCCTAGGATTATGAAATCTTGAGGAATGGAAGGCTGAGTCTCAAATGTCTAGGCTGTTCTGCTGAGGCTTTCCCATACTGTGCATTGAACCAATAACCTAAAGCAACGGCATTAAACTAGTCCTAGTCATGCTACAGAAACATCTGTAGCTTTCCTCACGCAAAGTCTGGTAAAGACAGACCATTCTATGCTCTCTGTCACCTCATTTCTCAAAGGGCAAAATTACAAACTCCACTAGGTTATACAGCACAATTGGAGATGACTACAATTAAGGAAGAGTATCATTTCTACCTCCTATTTTTAAATGGTTTTAAGTTCAAGGTTATGCAGTTATTCAATAATTCAGATAAAAGCTCCTTGCTTTTAATACTGGTAATACATTACCAAGATAAAGCACCAAAGAACATCTTTTAAAGGAGGCTTTAAGCTGTTTTGATTTAAGGAGAAGACTCTTAGAACAATTCCCTTGACTCAATTTTAAACATCAACTTCCTATGCAATAAAACAGGGTAACTTTTAATCTGCACAGAATAAATGACTTGCTGATGTCTGTATTACCACAGGGTTAAAAGAATTTTCCCTACAGATAAATTAAAACATAGTATAAAGTGCTCACTCTAAAAAAATGTCTAGTAAGCTAAGAATATGAACATTACATTCAAATGATTTCTACATTTTAAAATACTGTGTGTGTGCGCGTGTAACCAATTTAAAAATTTTCATACTCTTAATATTTAGACAAAATTTAGAAGAATCTACCTTGTCTAAGTATTGATGGATTCTTCTATCTAAAAAAAAAAAAAAATCAAACTTTAAAAGTAAGCCTCATCCAACGTACCGTGGAAGCCAGCATTGATCCTCCAAACCAAACTGCATATCGCTGCATGTGGTGTGTAATGACCTGTACATCAATAGGCTTTGGCTAAAAAAAGACATAAGATCACTTTAATAGTAAATTCAACTATCAGTTTATGTATCATTTTACCTTAAATGCACACACAAAAATAATATTCAAACTAAATTCAAAAGATACCTTATAAACCAGAAACCTCTGAGATTGGTTATTTATAGCAGAGGTGGAGCAGGAACACTATGGAGGGGATGGGATCAGGATAGAAAGGATGGAGGGGAATATTTTGTATGTTGCTGATTTTTAGAAACATGTTACTATTTCACACTCAAAAATAAGAGGGCACATGGTGCAAATTGGGATACAACAGAAACAAATTATACTAATCGTGTTTTAAAAAAATAAGCAGAATGAAGCGAGGGACTTGCGAACACACAATCTTGACTATCTGCCTTCATGCTAAACATAAAAAGTAAGCAAATATTGAAGTCAAGTTAGTAGCGCTGTTTTTCACAGTGGTATTGCTTAACAATTTTGAAACTACTATATATGTATTCTAGGACTGAACAAATATAAATAATGAGAGCCAGGTTTCTGTCAGAGAAAGGAATTATAAATATGGAAAGAGAGAAGTCTAGAATGAACCCTGTGGTATTTATTCTGGAATTGGAGGCATCAGTATGAATTCATAGTTTTTCATTTATATAGCTAGATAGAGAACTAGATACAGACGTGCACACACACACACACACACATATATATATTCTAGCTTTGCTGGCTGAGGAGGCTAGAAACAGTGAGATTCCAGAAGCAATGAGCACACCTAATGTCTAAAACTTGGTTTAAGAGCATTCTCCACTAAAAGAAATAAGGGTGCCTTGGAAAAAAATGGCTGATTCCAGGGCCTGAGCAGAGAAAGTACAAGATGAGCTTGTGACATCTGGCTGTGCCAGAAAGTAAGGAAGCACTGAAGAATGATGGGACTGCATCAAAAGGAAATATGAGCCACTCTGAATGGCGCCCACTGGCCAAATCTGAGAAAAGTTAAGCATCAAAATTAATGACACTAATGGATTATAGCCCTTAGAAGAAAATGAGAAACCATGAGTTCATCCAGGAATGAATGAGTGAACGAATGAATAAGATGGGAAAGCTCTTTCTTACAGTACAATGAGAACTAAAAACATAGAAGGAATGATGGAATCTGCAAAGCACCATTTGGTAACCACCACAGTAATAACTATTTTAGGTAAGAATCAGCAATGGATGCTAAAACCTGCGGTTGATGAGAAACAGGACAGTTACTAGTCCGAGAGTATCTTCCCATAAGATTCTTATTAAATATAAAGGAAAAGATAGTAACTTTATAGTAGAGAAACCTGGCAGACACACCTTTAACCAAGTGGTTGAAGTAAACATATGGGACACATCATATCATGTGTCTACTGCCAGCAGTGCACTGAAAAGGATTCAACATCACCTCTGCGGAATTACTGCCAAAAGGGTATAATATGAATTTAATCGTGAGGAAACATCAGATAAGCCCAAACTGAGGGACATTCTATAAAATAAATGGCCTGCACCCTTCAAAAATGTTTAGGACACCAAAGTAAAAAATGACTAATTTTTCTAGATTGAAGTGGCATAACCAAGTGAGCATGCAACCCTGGATTGGACCCTGAACCAGGAAAAAAATGTTTTTTCCTTTTGCTATAAAAGACATTAGTGGAACATCTGGTAGATCTGAATTAGATCTATAGCTAGATAACAGTACTGTATCAAGGGTAACTTCATATTAATTATAATGTCTTTGTTTTTAGAAAAGACACACTAAAATATATATGGGTAATGGGGCATATTTGCAATCCACTCTCAAACAGTTTTGAAAAAAATTCTGCGTATGTATATATGTATGTGTGTATATACATGTATTTACATAAATAGAATGATAAAGTAATAAAATGTTAGTATTTGGGGAACCTAGGTGAACAGGATACAAGAATTCCTTTTACTAGTTTTGTAACTTTTCTGTAAGTATGAAATTATTTCAAAATAAAAAGATTAAAAAAATTACACCTTGTAAAAAGATACAGCTGTATACCAATGTTCACTGCACCATTATACCAAGAGCCAAAAGGTAAAAGAAACAACCCAAGTGTTCATCAACAGACGAATGGATAAACAAAATGTGGTATATCCATACGACAGAATATTATTTAGCCATAAAGACAAATGAAGTCCTGATACATGCTACAACATGGATGAACCTTAAAAACATTATGCTAAGTGAAATAAGCCAGAAACAAAAAAGACAATACTGTATGATCCCACTTACATGAAATATCCAGAATATGCAAATACACAAAAAATTTTATTAGTGGTTAACAGAGGCTACGAGGAGGGTGGAATGGGGAGGTTCTGTTTGGGGTGATTAAAAACTTTTGGAAACAGTGGTGACAGCTGCACAATACGATAAACAAAATCAATGTTACTGAATTCTATAATTAAAAATGGTTAAAATGGCAAATTTTTGTTATATATATATTTTATCAATTTTTTTAAAAAATGGCTTACTTAAAAAAAAGAAGCTATTTTGTTGCTGTTAAAAAGTACAGACTAAAATAGAGAATAAAGCCAGATACAGTATATAAAGATATATCTTATGAGGATCTACAAAAGTAAAGACATGTTATGAAGATCTATAAAAATGACTACTAAATAAAATAACAGGGAAGGGGGCAGAGTCTTCCAGCACACAGAGTTTTTACTACACCACTATTTAATGTCAGCACAGAGCTGATATCACTGGGGGAAAAAATTCCTCATTTTTTATTTAAAAATGTACAAGCAGCTGAAAAATGTGTTAAATAGTTTTTACTTTATTAAAACACTATACTAAAAAACATATAGCATATCTTTTTTCATGTCACGGATCTGGAATGAATCATTAAAAAACTAAACAATTACTTAGTATATCCACAACCAAACAACTACTTAACATATCCACAACCAGACTATTAAGACAATCAATTTACTCCAACCTCCTAAGTGTTCTAACAGAAATTGAAAAAACAACATGATCTATGTTCACATAATCAGTGTGATCAGTATGACTCCCAGCACAAAGAATTGGACACTACGCTGGTAAAACTCATCAAGTTTTTTGTAGGTAGGTAGGTGCGCAGACCGGGTGGGTGGGTTGGCTGGGATCATGTGGGGTGGGGGGGAAGGCAAAAACAAAAGGTCAATATTATAAAAATGTATTACAGGAACAAACTGATTAAAAGTAGAAGTCATGCCATTACAGTGACAGAGGCTCAATAATATTTTGTTCTTCATCCAAAAAATATACTTTTTAACTGGAACGAGTCATTAAAAACTAAACAACTACTTAACATATCTACAACCGAACTATTAAGACAATCAATTACTTCAACCTAAGTGTGCTAATAAAAACTGAAAAACTTATAACTTGCACTAGGTTCGCATAATCAAGGAACAGGTTTATTTAAAATAATCGAAGTTTAGATGCTGAAAACAGGCAGTAGTCAAGCAATTTCTCAATAAGCAGCAAACCCTAGAGTGATATATTTTACTTTTAAGTAATTCTGCATGACTGTGGAGCCCCAGTGGCCTAGTGGTTAAGAGCTTGGCTGATAACCAAAATGTCGGCAGTTCGAATCCAACAGCCACTCTTTGGAAACCCTACGAGGCAGTTCTACTCTGTCCTATAGGATAGCTGTGAGTCGAAATCAACTCGACAGCAACAGGTTTGTTTGTCTGGTTTTTTGGTAGTAGTCTCAGACAGAGTTCTCATTTGTGGTAATTTTCCAAGTTGAAAGAAATGTATTTTATTTAGCAACTTATCCTCTGAATCAATGGTTTGCTTCAACATTCTACATTTAACAAGGACAAAAAAAAATCAAATTTACCTCATAAATACAGAAAGATGTTTGAGAATTTAAAATTAATAATTTTGGTTTTTGACAGTAAGCCCAAAAGTTGAGGACATACAGTAGAAAAGTTATCTTGATGAACCACTGGTTTGACTTCACACTGTGAGGCTGCTACATGGGATCTAGATCAGCTCATGAAAAATGCTTAATCACAAAACATCAGCATCTCTCTCAACTCTGCTTTCTCCTGCTATTGTGATATTTATAATTTAGAGATTCATAAAGAGCATTATCCCTGGAATACTGCAAAGAATCTACTATATACAAGTTATCTGTGAGAGAGATATTTTAAAAAAAAAAGAAAATCTGACAGCTATAACTACGAAAATTTTCCAGAAATGCAGATAATAGAGGAATCAAATGGTCAAGAATACTACGGACACCGATCTATAACCACTTTCCATTAGAATACTTGATAGGTAAAAAAATTAGTATAAAATGTGACAGACATTCCCCAGCCCTACTACAATAAACAAGGCACCCTCAACCTTCCCACCAATAATTGAGAAAACCTACCTTCAATCTACCGCCACTCAATTCTTCACTTAATTTCAGCCTGGCATCTACAGTTCTTTTCAAATCTCTTTGCAAGCGACGTCCAAAATCCCTGAACATGGTTGAGCCTCCAGAGAGGACAATATTCTATATTAGTGGAGAAAAAGAAAAAAACAATAAGTATGATCTTTATTTAAAAAGAAAGAAGAAAAAATTTTAAATATAATACTTAGTACTAAAATTCTATTGTATCCTTTTAAGAGTGGCTTTTTTTTTCTTTTTTTTTATTGTTGTAGTTAAAGTGAAAGTTTATAATTCAAGCTAGTCTCTCATACAAAAATTTATACATACATTGTTATGTGACCCTAATTGCTCTCCCTACAGTGACAGCACACTCCTCCTTTCCACCTCTGATTTCCCGTGTCCATTCAACCAGCTCCTAACCCTCTCTGCCTTCTCATCTCACCTCCAGACAGAAGCTGCCCATTTAGTCCATGCATCTACTTGAGCTAAGAAGCACACTCTTCACAAGTATCGTTTTATGTCCCACAATCCAGTCCGATCTTTGTCTGAAGAGCTGGCCTCAGGAATTGTTATAGTTCTGGGGTGACAGAGAGTCCGGGAGCCACGCTTTCTGGAGTTCCTCCAGTCTCAGGCAGACCATTAAGTCTGGTCTTTTTACTAGAATTTGAGTTCTGCACCCCACCTTAGGAGAGGTGTTTTTTAATTTAATATTCAACAATGGATAGAAAGGTAAGTTTTTTAAACGCATGACTTTGAATAACAACTGGGTTCTAACTACTGACCTTGTAGAGAGGACGTCTAACATCAATAGGACAATTCTGAATTACTTCATCTACAACTTCTGAGATAGGCTGTGTGAAGTCTGGATTAGCAAACTGAAAAACAAGTTGTGTATAAGATAGAGATTGGATCACTACTGACTTAAATATCACAATAAAAGTTAACAAAGTTTTCAGTTCACAAAAAGACTTTTAGAAGCTATCATTCTAGTCTCTGATACAAATTAAAGAAAAATAAAATTTCATAAGAAATTAAAATAATAATATATACCATTTTGTAACCATCACAACGAAAGTATAAAGCTACACAAATACTATGAGTTGGCAAAAGTCTGGGTAAATGGGAACTCTTACACACTGCTGCTGAGATGTAAGTGATGTAATCACTTTGGACAGCAATTTGGCAATATCTAATAAAGTTAAAAATACACCATTAACTTCACTTCTTAAAACAAACCTCAAAGGAATTCACACATGTGCACTGAGAGTTTTGTAAATGTATATTCACTGCAGCCTTGTTTATAAGAGCAAAAATAACACATAAGTTCATCAATAGGGGAAGAAATAAAATGTTATATATCCACTGATGATATACCATAAAATAACAGTTAAAATAAATAATCTATCTCCAAGTAGTTGACACTTGAAAGCAAAACTCATTTTTTAAAAGACTAACTTCAAGAAAACATGCATGATTCCATTTATGTATATTTTAAAAACACTTTTTACGGATACATATACATGTAAAAACATAAACTATATATACACCAAATTCAGGAGAGCAGTTATCTCAGGAGATGGACGGGGAACGAATGAAAAGCAAGTATAGAAGTGAAATTTTATTTCTTTAAAAAAAAAAACAAATCCCTTGATATGTATGATAAATAGTGAAATATTAACGTGTTTATTTGGGGTAGTAGGAATATGTGTGTTATACAGCGTACTTCTCAGAAATTTTTTTTCAAAACAGAGTGACTACATAGGTAGATGAGAGATGAAAAGTTGTTTGACAATAAAAATCACAATGGAAATGGAAATATGAGGTTGAAAATAAATACATGAATTTTTAAAACTTGATTTAATGAATAATACTATTATATACAACAGAAAACTTTATTCACAGAGAAGTAACACAAAATAATTAGGGAAGGTTTTCTTCTCCTTCATTTATTTTTATATGCATGCCTATAGGCTCTCCTAAAACATACTGTGTATTTCCTGAGAAACTACATAAAAGAAAGACATGAATAAGTTTTCAAATGCTATCTACATCTTCAATGTTCAACACTGGAAAGTTCAGATGCTCACACCTTAGCCCAAACAAAAAAACAGAGTGAATCCTTCAAATGACAGGGGAGCTACGACACAGAAGTGGGGGGAAAAAATCTTAAAATGTTTTCCTCTCACTTGGGAAACGAAACAACTCATACAATACAAAAAACATGTCTATTCTAGGAAAACATGGTAAACTGACCACACATATCTAAGTTTGCTCTCTCCCAAAGCGCTACTAAAAACAAGAGTAAAGAGAACTTTTTTAAAAAGGGGTAATTCCAAAAGTATGGACAGAACAGAAGAGGAAGAAACATTAATAAAACTTGTTAAACTGGAAGCTGGAAAGCAGATGGACAAGAATTTGTAGATCCTCCAAAACACTTAATAAGCCATCAGTAGGGAAAGCCAACAACCAAGCTGTTCTATATCACTACACCTGTCCCCCACCCATCCCACCTCCAAGAATTAGCTGCACCTGGTAGCTCTGAACTTGAGGAAGGAGGAGGACATGGAGGCAGACTGGTTCAAAGTCTGTCTGAAAAGCCGTTCAAGTCCCAGATCCCCTCCAAAGAAGCAAACGACTGCTTCATCCCCATCCCAGGAGAAAACTGGTAAATCTATTCTCTAAAGAGAATAAAATAGAGAGTTCTAGGACTCTTATACACAACTGAAAGTATTAAAAGCAGGGGAGTTTTTAGTGAAGGTAATGCAGCCTGCTGCTCACACACACATGCCAGCCCTCTTCCCCTATTTGGCTTCCAGCCTTTATCATTCCAGGCAGTAGTCTTCTCTGGGAACTGGACTGCCTGAAAAGACCTAAAGAATTCCTCCAAAGCAAAGGCCATAGTCAACAAGCCCAATCCACAAAACTCAAAATTCCAATTAGGTTTTTAGTGTCCCCGCTCTTAAAGTGGACCTGAAAGAATTATCAGATAGCTGAGAGTGTCTAGCACAAAAATATACGGATCAAAACAAAAAGCAAACTCAATTGGGAAGAAAGACTACGCAGAGAGAAGAAAATTTCCGTTAAAAAAAAGAACAAAAACAATGATTAATATTCTCAAAGACTTTGGTAGTCCTTCAAAAAGTTAAACATACACTTCAACAAAGAAGACATTCAAGCGGCCAACAGACACATACATGAGGAAATGCTCACGATCACTAGCCATTAGAGAAATGCAAATTAAAACCACAATAAGATACCATCTCACTCGGCATTAATGGCATGAATCAAAAACACTGGAAATAACAAACGCCACAGAGGCTCTTATGCACTGCTGGTAGGAATGCAAAATTATACAACCATGCTGGAAAATGATATGGCGCTTCCTTAGAAAGCTAGAAATAGAAATACCATACCATCCAGCAATCCCACTCCTAGAAATATATCCTAGAGAAACAAGAGCCGTCACTCGAATAGACATATGCACACTCATGTTCATGGCAGCACTGTTCACAATAGCAAAAAGATGGAAACAA